AAAAAATGTGCTACATGTCCTCAATATTTAATTGTACCTCATTTTGGAGTAAATCCTCGAGGTCTCCCTCCTAATCATTTTTGACAAATGAATGTCACTCATATTATAGAATTTGGAAAACTGAAACATGTACATGTAACAATAGATACTTATTCAGGATTTTTAATGGTTACTGCTCAAATTGGTGAGGCTATTACGCATGTAACTGATCATTGCCTAACGTGTTTCTCCTATATGGGGATACCAAAAGTTATTAAAACTGATAATGGATCTGGATATGTTAATAAAGCTTTTTATCTATTTTGTTTTCAATGGCAAATTGAATATAAAACAGGGACTCCTTATAATCCTCAAGGAAAAGGTATTGTTGAGAAAGCTTAGAGAAGCCTCAAGATACATCTTAAAAAATTAAGGAAGGGGGAGTTATACCCCCAGTCACCACACAATGCTTTAAATCAGGCCTTATTTGTTTTAATTTTTTAAAATGTGGATGCTTCTAGAAAATCTGCAGCTGATCAATTTTGACATGAAGACACCACCACTAAATTTGATCTAGTTAAATGGAAAGATCCCTGTGCTGGCTTATGGAAGGGCCCCAACCCTATATTGATATGGGGACTAGGGCTTGTTTGTGTTTTTTCACAGGAAGAAAATGAAGCTTGTTGGTTGCTTAAATGATTGGTGCGGTGTATGGAGTAGAGAGAGGCTGGTCCTGATGTTGCAGATGACCGTCCAGAGATGCCAGAGTGAGACCTACTGGGCCTGTGTTCCTGAGGCACCAATTTATATCCTGCCACTTGGAAAGGAAAAGGAATTGTGGTTGTGGTTAAGGATACCGGGCTTTTAGATCGACCTTTCACCCAAGAGTTCCAGATTACTCACAACTTTTCTTATATTAGATATGGTAAAGGGATCCCTATATGTTTTACAAAAGATATTACTTTAGAGGGATGTCTTGGAATGTTTTCAAAACAAGTATTGGAACATGATAAACAATGTACCAGTTATACAAAGTTATTGCTTCCTCAGGGTAATTGGACAAGTAATACTTCACTACCTCAACGATTTCCTTCATGCACAAAAGAACTGTGAGAGTCTAACAGAACTTTGTTTTGGAGATGATGTACTGGCATTGTTCCTTTAAGGTACAACATCACAGGGATACAACAGTATATTCTTGACTGGTCTGGAAATCAGGAAGACTATAGTGACTCTTATGCTGTGTCTACAGCAGAATCTTGGGACCAAGGAATGTCAGCTGGAATTTGTGGAATTCCAGTACTGGATCTCCACAAACTTATGTTTGGAAAATTGCTGCTGCCATGAGAACAGTCAGAGAACGTTCCAGGCATTTGAAACCTGTTTGTCCTTTGAAAGGAACTGTTTTAGCTTGTGTTAAAATGCCCTATGTTCTTTTAGTTGGTGAAACAAATATTTCTATGAATGGTTCTGTGTTTAATGTATCATTTTGACCGATAGTATTTCCCAAATGGATAATCACATTCGTGTAATAGTTTAAAACAACCTTTATTTGTTATATTGTCAGTATATATGAATGATCCATGGTTTGATGATAAAGGGCTATAAGAAATTGAAGAAATTGGGGCCGGAGAGATGGCTCAGCGGTTAAGAGCACTGGCTGTTCTTCCAGAGGTCCTGAGTTCAATTCCCAGCAACCACATGGTGGCTCACAACCACCCATAATGAGATCTGGTGCCCTCTTCTGGCCTGTAGGCATACATGCAGGCAGAATACTGTATACATAATAAATAAAAAAATAAAAAGAAATTGAAGAAATTAAGAAAGCTTTAAGCAGGCAGAAGCATGTTGCTGGATTAGTTATAGCAGGAATTGCAGCTCATGTTACTATGCTTGCTACTAGTATGGTGGCTTCAGTGGCTTTGTCTCAATCCATTCAGACAGCACGGTTTGTAAATCAATTGTCTACGAATGTCTCTATGACATTAGAGACACAAAAAGATATTGATGTAAAAATGGAACATAAATTGAATGCTTTATATGATATGGTACAATTTTTGGGAGATAAACTCCAAAGTCTGAAAGCTAGAGTGCATTTGAAATGTCATGCTAATTATGAATGGATTTGTGTTACATCTTCTGTGTACAATGAAAGTGCAATTGGATGGGAAAAGGTTAAGGCACATCTTAAAGGAATTTGACATGATTCTAATCAATCCTTAGATTTGGCTAAATTACAACAAGAGATTATAGAAATGAGAAAGGCTAAATTGGATTTTGATGCAGTTAAAACAGCGTAAGATAATCTAGAACAATTTAAAATGGATACCACATCATTGTCATCATTTATTTCGTTCTTAAGTAGTGTTATAGCTATTGGAGCATTATCTTAGTAGACATAATTTGTTTGCCTAAAATTCTCAAGCTGACTTTGAACTCATTACAGAGATTGGGCTCATAACTCCACAGAGTAAAACTCTGCACATTCCTCTGACTCAACACCAGAGGCTGGTAGCTAAGGACGGGTAAGTTTTCTTTGCCTCCTTTCAACCTAAGACAGGACGTGAATGATGAAATTCATGCTGCCATGATGGGTAAGATTGGAATGTGATAAGAAAACACCTAAGACAGGCATGGTCATCTGAGAGATTCAAAAGTATTAAAATAAATAAAAAAGGAGGAATTGTGGGAGCCCACAACTGGCTCAGTTTTCCAGTTTGAATCTGAAGTCTATTCTGAGTCAATAGAGTTCAAGATTGTCTGCTCCAAGGCTGTGAGAAAGTCCTGATAAGCCCAGAGTCTCCTTGAAGGGCTGTGAGAAAGTCCTGATAAGCCCACATTAGGGAATATACTATCTAGCTAGATGCAGGCTGTTGCTGCCTTCAGTAGTACATTGAGATAGAAAATGAAACTGCCTATTCCTGGATGCAAGGCAGGATAGACAATGATTGAATGCCTGTGCTGTGCATTGTTTTACCTCTGTCCTTCAAAACTGTATATAAGCTGCCTGTAAACTGGGGGCTGTGCAGCATTGACCAGCAGACCTCTCGACTCTTTTCTGTATACTTCATTGTCTCTACAATCCTCACACCTCTACCCAGCTACCCAGATGACTGTCAGAAGGCTATGATATTACAGGAGTCCACTCACTTGATCCCTCATGCCTTCCCAGTAGGATGCTGACCCTCTATAAATATTATGATGGCCAGATGCATGTGCTGTAATCATTGTTAAAACAGGTCAGTATAAATATGTCTAAAACCAAAAAGGGTTAAAATGATATTTACTTGGGGATAATTTAATACATGTATGTTAAATGTTTTATTTAATCCCCACATTCCTTTACCTGTTGTTTCTTACCCTTAAAAACACTTTACTCTCCCTATTTGGTTGGCTTTTTCTGTGTTATTTCTTCATTCCTCTTAGTGCTCCCTCCATGTGTAGGGGTGCAGGACAGTTGACTGGAACCTGGAACACTCCAAGAATGACTGTCTCCCTCAGGAGCCATCAATTGCCAAATAGCTCCTCCACAGGGTGAGACATTGTGAGACCCTTATGCAACCATGCTTATTGTATGCTGGGGTATAGCCTGTGGAAGTGTTGTACAGGTAGCAATAGTCACAGTATGTTCAAATGTAGACTAATTGAAAAATGGTCTTTATCCTACAAAAATATGGAGCCAGATAGTGGGGTAAATTCTGAAAGATCAGAGAGACAGAACAAGCCACAGCCAACTTCAACTTGCCAACCTCTCAGCTGATCTTGTCTCCTTAGATGGCAGGGTTCTGAGTCTTCACCCAAATGGATCTTAGCTGAACTCCTGCTCAAAAGCCTAAAAGCTTAAAAGCCTCTAGTTCCTGGTCCTCATGTCTTGCATACCTTTCTGCTTCCAGCCATCACTGTCTGGGATTAAAGGTGCGTGTCACCATGTCTGGCTGTTTCCAGTGTGACCTTGAACTCACAGAGATCCAGATGGATCTCTGCCTCCCAAGTGATGGGATTACGGGCATGTGTACCAACATTTTCTGGCTTCTATGTCTAAGCTGGTGGCTGTTCTGTTCTTTGAGCCCCGGATAAGCCTATTGGGTTACACAATATATCAACCACATTCAAGCATGAAATGGTACTGACATTTCTAGCAATGTTTCACTGTTCTAAAAATGATTCAACGTTTCTACTGTCTCACTGCAGACATCTATTTCTTCCTCTGACATTCTTTCTAACTCTATTCTCTCAGATTTCCCTGACTTTTGGCTTTAGATAAGTGTAAGAAACCTCTTTCACAATGTGTGACACAGGTATCACTTTTAGATCAGGGCCCTCCACAGGATAATATTCTCTATGCTTCGACCAGTGTGCATCTGTGTATTATTCTCTATCTACAACACAATTAATATTTTCTGGTGGGTGTTGAGAGGTGCCTGACGCTGTGGGATAAAGATAAGAACTTGGGTTCCTGACTCTGTGGCCTAAAGATGAGACCTTGGGCTCATTTAGTTAGTATCCACTTATTAGAATAACAACATTCAATTCTCTCTAGGTCTTATCACCATGCTGAGCTAAAGTATATTACCAAATTAATATCACACCAGTTATAATTTGTGGAATAAACATTAAATCCAACCAGAAAAATCATTGATTACTCTCATAACATGTCTGTCATTATTGCTCTATGGGCACTGTTGTTTTTTATCTGGGGCACAGCAGCTGCACCTCATACTATCAATGCCTCAGCTGATGACTTCACCTCTTCAGCTGCAGCTGCTGCCTTGACGCTGAGGCCTTAGACTGGAAGAGCCTTCCTGTAGTTTTAACTAAGTCATTGTCTTTTATTTTACCAATAAGGATTCTGGAGCCAGATGCTGGGTGAAAACCTGCTAGCTCAGAGAGAAAAGAGTTTTTTGCACACCAAGGGGAGATGTTACAGGAGTTTAGATGACTCCACTGGGAAAAACAACAGTAACTATGCCACAGCCCAGATTTCAGATTCCAGGTACCCAGGAAACAATTTCAGGGCATGGTAAAGGTTTCAGAGAACATTTATAGTTACAGAAGAAAGAGACTCATTAATCAAGGCAAGATTCAAACACACTGCTTGGACAAATTGTTGGGGTTAGCAAAGAGAAATCTCTACAGCTCTCTGATGACATTCTTAACATTTTTGCTATTGGAAGTTAGATGTTCTTGCTGACATTCCAAAATGATTCCTAACATTCTCCACTATGGATTCATTGAGGTGGATAAGATCTGAATAGTTCGCAAATATTTTACCACACTTCACACACTCATGGAGTTTGAGTCAGAATAAATCATTTGATGTATTTTAAGGGTTGAAAAAGTAAACATTTTAAGACATTTGTAGGATACTTCTTCCATATGAACTATATCATGTGTTGAGTAAGCACATAAAGATTAACAAAGTTTTTGATACATTGCCCACAATTTTAGGGATTGTCTTCAGAATGAATTTCCTTTTCTTTTTTATTTTGTCTAAAGGATGAAGGTGAAGAGAACCTTCTGTCACATATTCACAGTTTTAGGGATGTTCTCCAGTATGAACTGTCTTGTGTCTCATAAGGGATGAGATATAATAAAAGGCTTTGTGACATTCTTCACACTTGTATGGTTTCTCTTCAGTATGAACTGTCTTGTGTCTCCTAAGGGATGAGAGATAAAAAAAGGCTTTGTGACATTCTTCACACTTGTAGGATTTCTCTCCAGTATGAATTGTCTTATGTTTCATAAGGGATGAGATATAATGAAAGGCTTTGTGACATTCTTCACACTTGTAGAGTTTCTCTTCACTATGAACTCTCTTGTGTTTCCTAAGGTATGAGAGATAACAAAAGGTTTTGTTACATTCTCCACACTTGTACGGTTTCTCTCCAGTATGAACTCCCATGTGATTCTTAAGGGATGAGAGATAACGAAAGGCTTTGTGACATTCTTCACACTTGTAAGCTTTCTCTCCAGTATGAATTGCCTTGTGTCTCCTAAAGCCTGAGTGATAATGAAAGCCTTTGCCACATTCTTCACACTTGTACAATTTCTCTCCAGTATGAAGTGTTTGATGTTCCTGAAGATCCCTAGAACAGGAATATCGTTTGTCACATTGTACACAGGTATAAGGATTGTCTTCAGAATGGATAGTTTGATGTGCTCTAAAACATGCATCTGAGGAAAAACATCTGCCACACTCTTCACACTTGTAAGGGTTGTCTTCATAGTGAATTATTTGATGTCGTCTAAGACATGAAGCTGAGGAAAAATATTTGCCACACTCTTCACACTTGTAGAGTTTCTGTCTAGTATGAACTACCTTGTGGTTCTTAAGTGATGACTGATAAAGAAAGGTTTTGTGACATTCTTCACACTTGTATGGTCTCTCTTCATGAATTTTACTATGTTTCTGAAGGATTGCAGAATGGGAAAACCTTATGCCACACTCCTCACACTTGTAGGGACTGTCTGTGCAGTGAACAGTTTGATGTTGAGTAAGGTATGAAAATGAAGAAAATAAACTGCCACACTCTTCACACTTGCATGGATTCTCTCTAGAATGAATTCTTTGATGTTGCTTCAGCAGTGAAGGAGTGTAAAAGGATTTGCCACATTCTTCACACTTGCATGGTTTCTCTCCAGAATGAATTCTTTGATGTTGCTTCAGCATTGAAGGTTTATAAAAGGATTTTCCACATTCTTCACATTTGTAAGGTTTCTTTCCAGAATGAATTCTTTGATGCTGCTTCAGGAATGAAAAATTATAAAAAGTTTTGCCACATTTTTGACACTTATATGGTTTCTCTCCAGAATGAATTCTTTGATGTTGCTTCAGGAATGAAGGATCATAAAAAGCTTTGCCACATTTTTCACACTTGTGGGGTTTCTCTGCAGAATGAATTCTTTGATGTTGCTTCAGCATTGAAGGATAGTAAAATAATTTGCCACATTCTTCACACTTGTGTGTTTTTTCATCAGTATGATTTTTCTGGTGTATAAAAAGTGATGAGCGAGTATTGAAGGCCTTATGACATTCCTTACATGTATAGGATTTTTCTCCAGTATGAAGTCTCTGGTGTATGGAAAGTGTTTTATAAGAACTAAGGCCCTTGCCACATTCTTTACACTGGTAGGGTTTCTCCCTTGTATGAATTCTCTGGCTTTGAATACGTAATAAGTTACAGTCAATACCGTTGTTGTAATCATTATAATCATTGAATGTTGTTCCTGTTGAGCAAAAGTTGAGAAATGAACAAAGGCTTGGAAATAAGTTCATACTTATAATGCTTATCTTTTTCAAAGGAAATATTTATCATACATATTAAAGCATCAGTGAGAAACTACAGTACATTTCAAAACCTACAGGGACTAAGCATAAATGATAAAATATTGTAGGCAGAAATAATCTAGACTTCTACTAGAATAAGGGCATGACCAAAAAGAACCTAGACATAATGGCATAGTATTCAAAGTTTAATACCTAAGAAAGTTGTAAGGAAATTTTACAACAGAAGTAAACCCATTAAACAGGATATGTTATATGGCCAGACAACCCTGAAATTATAAGGTAACCAAGCTGAGAAAAGAGAAAGTTAATTGTGACTATATGAATTTGAGCCATCATCTAAATAGAACATTTTTATCCTCCACATAGAGTATTATTTTGGCAGGTACAAAAGATATGCTGCACAAGAAGTAGATGGTCCACAAAAAGATTAAATTTATCGCTCAAAAATTTAGGACACTATTTTATGGTTTATTTTGATGAGAAGAATATATAAAACAGAATCCTCCAGCTCTGACTGGACCAGGAGGTGAGTGACTCTTCTCCCTGCCTAAGTCCTAAGCTCCAAGGCAGAACCCATGCTCTACCATTCCCACCCATTGCTGCCCCAGTTGCAGCCCAGTAGGGAAGACTCTGGCAGGCAGATCTCCCCACCAATACCCCGTAGGGACCCTGCAATCTGTAAGACCCCCTCCCTCCCCCAAACCCACCCATCCCCCTGTGACCTCAGGGGCAACCTGAGACACACAATCTGAGAAATGAAAAATTCCCTTAAAGAAATTGAGGAAAAGACAAACAAAAATTAGAAGAAATCAACAAATCCCTTAAAGAAAGCAAAGAAAACAAAGGAAAAGCAATCAAACAGGGGAAGGGAACAGTTCAAGATCTAAAAATTGAGGCTGAAGCAATGAAGAAGACACCAATCAAGGGAATGCTGGAAATAAAAATCTGAGTAAATGAGCAGGAACTACAGAAGCAAGCAAAAGGAAACAAATACATGATACGGAAGACAGAATTTGGGGAACGGAGGATATGCTAGAGGAAATAGATCGGTCAGTCAAAGAAAACACTTCAGTCAAGAAAATCATAACTCAGAACGGCATGCTCACTTTGGTATGAGATCTTTCGGCTAGAGTCTGCTCTCAAATTCTAAAACTAAATGACTCTCAGTCTGACCAGCACTGAGTTCTCTTTCCCTGTGTCCTACTCTACAATGGAGAATCAACAAAGAGACAAATCTCAGAAGGCACTGCAATAGGAGTCGGCTAGTGAGTTATTCTTGGGGAAATACAAGCTTAAGAGACATAAACCATCATACACTTCTGAGAGATGAGCTTCGACAACAAAGACATGAAGGACAGACCAAAGAATGACTCCCACAGTGTCATGTTCCAGGGTGATGGGAAAGCCTGCCTTTCTGGGGGATATTTGGACCTCAACCCTGGCCCCAAACCCCTCATTCCTACACACCTGGCTGCACGTTGGCTGCTGCTTGTCTCTTCACATCTGAAGATTCTTGTCTTTGCTCCAAATGTGTCACCAGGTGTGGCTTAGACACAGCAAGACCTGTTTGCAGAAAAAAGGAACAAGATTGTTTATGTGTTCTTTTACTTGGAATTGACATGAGTCTTCCAGTACATGGCTTATAAGGAAAGAGATGATGAAATAAATGATTGCAGACAATCAGTTCCTTAAATGTTTTCTGACAGAATCACTACACTACATAAAGAAATTTACAATAACCAGATTCTGAGTTTCATTTAATGATAAGAAAAACTCAGTAAAACTGATTGTCAGGCCCCTAGGACCCATTCCGGGGACACAACCAGTTCCCGGGTTACCATCACCCAAATCTGTCCCTGTTGCCAGACAGTAGGCAAAACTCCTCCTGGAAGAACCACCTAACCAAAACTCCACACTGGACCCTGCAATCTACATGCCATGCCCCCATACCCATCCGCCTGGGACGCCAACAAATTCCTGACACATAGAAACCAAACCGCCGGCTCCCATTGGACCAAGAGAGGAGGAGATGGGCAGATGTCAAGGCAAAAATCATACAAAAACCTAAAGAGCAATGTGGCACCACCAGAATCTAGCCCTCCTCCAACAGTAATAGCTGAACCTCACATGGTAGAAGAAGCAGAAGAAAGTGACCTTAAGAATAGCATCATGAAGATGCTAGAGGCCTTTCAAGAAAAAATGAAAAATGAAATGGAGGAAAAGAGAAACAAAAAATTGGAAGAAATCAATAAAGAAATAGAGGAAAAGATAAATAAAAAATTGAGCTGGGCAGTGGTGGCCCACGCCTTTAAACCCAGCACTCGGGAGGCAGAGGCAGGTAGATCTCTGAGAGTTCAAGGCCAGCCTAGTCTATGAACCAAGATCCAGGAAAGGCGCAAAGCTACATAAAGAAACCCTTTCTCGAAAAACCAAAATAAATAAATAAATAAATAAATAAATAAATAAATAAATAAATAAATAAAATGAAAGAGATCAATAAATCCCTTAAAGAGAGCCAAGAAATCCATGAAAAGGCAATTAAACATGTGAGGAATATAATTCAAGACCTGAAAAGGGAAATAGAAACAATAAAGAAGACACAAAGAGAAAAAATGCTGGAAATAGAAATTCTCAGTAAATGAACAGGCAACACAGATGCAAGCATAATCAACAGAATACAAGAGATGGAAGAGAGGATCTCTGGTGTAGAGGACACAATAGAGAAAATGGATTCATCTGTCAAAATACCAAAGCCAAAAAAAGTCATCACACAAAATATCCAGGAAATCTGGGACACCATGAAAAGGCCAAACCTACAAATAATAGGGATGGAAGAAGAAGAATACCAACTCAAAGGCACAGAAAATATATTCTACGAGATCATAGAAGAAATCTTTCCCAAGGTAAAGAAAAAAATGCCTATGAAGACACAAGAAGCCTATTGAACACCAAACAGACTAGATCCCCCAAAAAGTCCCCTCGCAACATGATAATTTAACAACTAAATGTACAGAATAAAGAATATTAAGAGCAGCAAAGGAAAAAGGCCAAATGACTTATAAAAGCAAACCCATCAGAAAACACCCAACTTCTCAATGGAGATTTTGAAAGCCAGAAGGTCCTGGACAGATGTAATGCAGACACTAAAAGAACATGGATGCCAGCCTAAACTAATATACCTAGCAAAATTTTCAATCACCATAGATGGTGTGAACATGACATTCCAAGACAAAACCAGGTTTAAACAATCTTATGCACAAACCAGCCCTACAGAAAGCACTAGAAGAAAAATTCCAACCAAACAAGTCAGATACACCCACAAAGACAAAGGCAATAGATAACCACACAGCAGTAAATCCCAAAGAAGATAAATACACACACACTACCACCAAAAGATAACAGGAACTAACAATCACGGGTCATTAATAACCCTTAATATCAATGGACTTAATTTACCTATAAAAAGGCACAGGCTAACAGAATGGATATGAAAACAGGACCCATCTTTCTGCTGCATATACCTCAATTTCAAAGATAGACACTACTTCAGAATAAAAGGCTGGGAAAGGTCTTTCCTATCAAATGGTCTTAAGAAGCAAGCTGGAATAGCTATCCTAATATCCCACAAAATAGACTTCAAACTAAAATCAATCAAAATGGATCGAGAAGGGAATTACATGCTCATCACAGGAAAGATACACCAAGATTGAAGTTTCAATTCTGAACATTTATGCCCCAAACACAAGGGCACCCACATATGTAAAAGAAACATTACTAAAGCTTAAATCACACATTAAACCCTACACATTAATAGTGGGAGACTTCAAGACCCCACTCTCACCACTGGATAGATCTGCCAAATTGAAACTTAACAGAGAAATAAGGGACTTAACTGATATTATGACTCAGATGGATTTAATGATATCTACAGAACATTCTACCCTAACAAAAAAGTATATACCTTCTTCTCAGCAACCCATGGATCCTTCTCTAAAATCAAACACATACTCGGTCAAAAAGCAAATCTCAATAGATACAAAAATATTGGAATAACCTCCTGTATTCTATCAGACCACCATGGCTTAAATTTGGATTTCAACAACAACAAGGATTACAGAAAGCCTACAATCTCATGGAAACTGAATAATGCTCAACTGAATCACTAATGGGTCAAGGAAGAAATAAAAAGAGAAATTAAAGACGTCCTAGAGGTCAATGAAAATGAATATACTACATACCCAAACTGATGGGACACTATGAAAGCAGTGCTAAGAGGAAAATTCATAGCACTAAATGCCTACATAAAGAAGTTGGAGAAATCTCATACTAATGACTTAACAGTACACCTGAAAGCTCTAGAACAAGAAGAAGCAAAGTCACCAAGGAGGAATAGACGCCAGGAAATAATCAAATTGAGAGCTGAAATCAATAAAATAGAAACAAAGAGAATAATACAAACAAAGAGGAATACAGGGAACATACCTAAACATAATAAAGGCAATTTACAGCAAGCCAACAGCCAACATCAAAGAAAATGGAGAGAAACTCAAAGTGATTCCACTAAAACCAGGAACAAGACAAGGCTGTCCACTCTCCTGATATTTACTCAATACAGTACTGAAGTTCTAGGTAGAGCAATAAGAGAAAAAAGGAGATCACGGGGATACAAATTGGAAAGGAAGATATCAAACTTTCACTATTTGCTGATGACATATAATATACATAACTGACCCACAAAATTTGACCAAGGACTCTTACAGATGATAAACACCTTCAGTAGTGTGACAGGAAACAAAATTAACTCAAAAGAATCAGTAGCCCCCCTATATACAAATGACAAATGGACTGAGATAGAAATCAGAGAAACATCACCCTTTACAATAGCCACAAATAATATAAAATACCTTGGGGTAACTGTAAGCAAGCGAAGAACCTGTATGACAACAACTTTAAGTTCCTGAAGAAAGACATTGAAGAAGATATCAGAAAATGGAAAGATCTCCCATGCTCATGGATAGGTAGGATTAAAATAGTAAAAATGGCAATCTTCAAAAGCAATCTACAGATTCAATGCAATCCCCATCAAAATCCGAACACAATTCTTAACAGACCTGGAAAGAACAATACTCAACTTCACTTGGAAAAACAAAAACCCAGGACAGCCAAAAGAATCCTGGACAATTAAACAACCTCTGCAGGCATTATGTTCCCTGACTTCAAGCTCTACTATAGAGCTACAGTAATAAAAAACAGCTTTGTACTGGCATAAAAACCGACATGTGGACCAATGGAATTGAACAAAGACACTGACATTAATACACACATGTATGAACACCTAATTTTTGACAAAGAAGCCAAAACTGTACAATGGAAAAAAGAAAGCATCTTCAACAAATGGTGGTGGTATAATTGGATGTCAACATGTAGAAGATTACAAATAGATCCATATCTGTCACTGTGCACAAAACTTAAGTCCAAGTGGATCACAGACTTCAACATAAATCCAGTTACTCTGAACCTGATAGAAGAGAATGTAGGAAGTAGTGTTGAACTCATTGGCACTCGAGATCATTCCTACATATACTACCAGGAGCACAGACACTGAGAGAAACAATAAATGGGACCTCTTGAAACCAAAGAGCTTTTGTAGGGCAAAGGACATGGTCAATAAGACAAAATGACAGCCTACACAATGGGAAAAGATCTTCACCAACCCCATAACTGACAGAGGGCTGATATCCAGAATATGTAAAGAACTCAAGAAACTAGACATCAAAGTACCTAACGGTCCTATTAGAAAATGGGCTATAGAGCTAAACAGAGAATTCTTAAAAGAAGCTCAAATGGTTGAAAGACATTTAAGGAATTGCTCAACCTCTTTAGTCATCAAGGAAATGCAAATCAAAATGACTCAGATACTGTCATAATGGCTAGGATCAAAAATACTGAAGACAGCTTATGTTGGAGAGGATGTGGAGTAAGGGGAACACTCCTACACTGTTGGTTGAAATGCAAACTTGTACAGCCACTTTTGAAATCAATAAGGGGCTTTCTCAGAAAATTGGGAATCAATCTCCCTCAAGACCCAGCTATACCACTCTTGAGCATATACCCAAGGAATGCTCAATCACAGCACAGGGATACATGTTATACTGTGCTCATAGAAGCATTATTTCTAAGAGTCAGAACATGGAAACAACCTAGAGGCCCCTCAACTGAAGAATGGATAAAGAAAATGTGGTACATATATACAATGGAGTACTACTCAGCAGAGAAAAACAATGACATCATGAGGTTTGCAGGTAAATGGATGGAACTAGAAAAAAATCATCCTAAGTGAGGTAACCCAGACTCAGAAAGACAAACATGGTATGTACTCACTCATACGTGGATACAAATGTAAAGCAAAGGATAAGCAGACTGCAACTCACAGCTCCAGGGAAGCTAGCTTGTAAAGAGGACACTAGAAAAGACACAAATATCGCACAGTGATGGAGAAATGGATGAGTTCCACATGAGCAAGCTGCGGGTGAGGTGGGGTAATAGAGGTCAAGGGTAGGGAGAAAGAGAGCTTAGGGTTTCGGGAGGTCCTAGCTGGATAAGGAATAGAGTGGGAGAAAAAGGAAAGAGATACCATGATAAATGAAGATGCCATGGGAATAGGAAGAAGCAGAGTGCTGGAGAGATCCCCAGGAATCCACAAAGATACCTCCACTGTAGACTACTGGCAATGGTTAGGAGGGTGCCTGAGCTGACCTACTCTGGTGATGGGATGGCCAAACACCCTAAATGTCACAGAACCCTCATCCAGTGACTGATGGAAGCAGATACAGAGATCCACGACCAAGCCCCAGGTGGAGCTCCAGGAGACCAATCAATGAGAGAGAGGAGGGATTAAATAGCAAGAGATATCGACAGCATGATTAGAAAAAGTACAGAGACAACTAGCCAAACTAGTGGAAACACAAGAACTGTGAACCAATAGCTGAGGAGCCCCCATGGTACTGGTCTAGGCCCTCCAGATGAGCAAGACAATTGTTTAGCTTGAACTGTTTAGGGGGCCCCCAGGCAGTGAGACCGGGACCTGTCCTTAGTTCCTCAACCTAGCTTTTTGGAACCTGGGGCCTATGCTGAGACACTTAGCTCAGCCTTGGTACAGGGAGGAGGGGACTGGACCTGCCTCATCAGAATCTACCACACTCTGCTGACTCCACAGGGAAGATATTGCCTTGGAGAAGGTGGGAATGGAGGGTGATGGGGGGAGGGGAGTCTGGGCGGTGGGAGGAGGGAGAACAAGGGAATCTGTGGTTGATATGTAAAATGAATAGAAAATCTCTTAATAAAAAATAAAAAGTTGGCCAGTGGCATGCACCTGGAACCCCAGACCTGGTGGGCAAGACAGGCAGGTCCTAGGGGCTTGTCAGTCCACAAGTCCAGCTGAATGGCAGCTGCAGGTTCAGTGAGAAACTGTTTTAAAGAATAGCTGGCCTGGGAGGCTCATGCCTTTAAAGTGGCTGTTCTAAGTGGATCAAGTTGACCTACATGGAAGCACTCATCTCTGTCAGCCTGGACTGTCCAGAGTCACAAAGGGGAGGCAAAAATACAAAAAACAACACAAAGAAACAAAACAAAACAACCAACCAACCAAACAAACAAACAAAAACCCTGAATTTTGAAACAGTTTAATTAACAAGTGTACTTGAGGTCTCATGCCATTGAATTTCTGAGAGTCCCACTGGAGTGAAGGAAAAATGCACCTAACACAAAAATGTAAAACACAAAGAGAAAAAACAGTGAAATGGTTCTTTATGAATATGTTATTTTAATTTTACATGTGCATTGGTGCTTTACTTGTAGGGATATCTGTGTGAGGATGAAGTGTTAATCAAATTAATCTCTACAATTAAAAAAATTAGAGTCAGGCATTGGGGTGAAAACCCGAATGATCAGAGACACAGAGGAGCAGACACAGTTACTTCCTACATCTTTAGTTCCTGGATCCTGTCTCAGCCCTGACTTACCACTTCCGGTCCATCTTTCTACAAGCCTCTGAAGCTCTGTGGTCAGCTAATGGCTAGCATCACCCTCTGACTCCAAGGAAGCTTTCTTTGTCAGAACACAATCCCATGAGAGTGTCAGACCGTGGGATTACAGACAGTTGTGAGTTGCCACATAGGTGCTGGGGAATGAACCCCGATCCTCTAGAAGAGCAGTCAATGCTCTTAACAACTGAACCATCTCACCAGTCCTGAAATGATTTTTAATACAGCAATCTCCTTAATTTTTCAGAAAACAAAGGATATGAAAATGGCTGATGAAATGCTCCCATGAGATACCATACAAAGTGAGGAAGCTACATGGTGATGGTGAAATAAGAATTCACTATGGATGAGAGCCTCACCAAGGAACACAAGGTTGCTGTAATTCTCCAACATCACATCCCTGTACAAATTCCACTGAGCAGGCTCCAGGCATTCCCTCTCTTCTGCAGAGAACTCAATGGCCACATCCCAGAAGGACAGCATTTCCTGAAATAAAGATCAATGAGTGATACTGCACTTTAGTTTAATTAAAACCATTAACAATATTAAGATATTAACAGCAATAATATATTAATGTAAATATATATAATATAAAGAGAATAGAAACTGGTCCTAGAGGCAAGCCTAGAACAACAGAATGGACAGAGAAGATACATTAAGAACTGCTGTATCTCCTGTCAGTATCCTTCAGGGATATGTTTTCAGAGAATCAGACAAAACTGAAAATTGGTGGGAAGGCCAAGCCAGATGTAAAGGGAGGACTGGATTCCTTGTCAGGTTCCTAGAGTAGTGACCTTCCATTCAGAGCAGCCTATGTCCTGACCAAAGACATAGTGCTTAAAATACACATTACACACATCATCAAGTCCCAACTCCTAGATCTCCATCCAGGCTCTATACTTGCACATGTGTGGCATGAAAGACTCATTGATTTTTTTCCTTCATCCACCATATATTGCAATATAGAACTCAAAAAGTGGAATAAACCACGAAAACTGTGGAGACCAAATGTAGTATCTGCTTTGAAAACCTGAATTACATATTTACAATTGAAACTTCAAAATACTATCACAAGCTTTGCCTTTTATATTAGATGTCAAGCTGTATTAGTGGATTTTAACACTCCATCTATTGCTTCTGAGTCTTCTTAAAGTACCAGTGGTGGAGTGTAACCCATGAAGATTTGGGACATGCACACTCATACATTTCACTTAATTTCATATAGAGAGTGCAAAGAAGAACACAATGGAATGCAGATTTTCAAAAGGATGGTCATGAAACAACATACACCTTTCAAACTAAACATGCTGATGCATTTGATAATGGCTATGGAGGACACTGTGGCAGCCACGTTTATTACCTGAATTGACAATGTAATGAAAATCTGTGCTGCTCAGTTTTATTCCTTGGATATGTGTTTGACCCCTGTTCAAACCATGCCATGTCTCTCCATTGCCTCTGACATAGTCATGTAGATCAATCAGCAGGAACTGAACATCCTCACCCAGCACACCTCCCCTCCAGACTTTTCCAGATATGACATGTCTAACACAGCAGGGTTCATGCATGAGCTGTAAACACAAGGAACTCCCTCCCTCACACTGACATTAGAATACAATGAAAGAAGCCTGGGAGGAAAGAGACAGGACTGCTCAACAAGGGGAACTGGACTGGACCTGTGAAGAGCAGGAACCAACATGAGCACTTTGCTTTACTGGTTGGATATGGCAGTGCCCATGTGAAGGACAGGGAGGAAGTGGTTTTGTTCTGGCTCACTGTAAGAAGCATCTGCACACAGTGGAACCTCTGGAGTAAGGACAGGGGAAGGCATCCCAGCTGCAGCTGCAGAAAAAGACCCAGGAATGTAACCAGAGCAGCCACATCAGTCAAGAACTGCAGAATGGAAATGAAGAAATAATGGAGTCTCAGATTAGATATGAAAGAAGCAAACTAAACTGGAAATAATCAGTGAAACCAGAAGAAATCAGCATCAGGTCATAAAAGTGACAAACAAAGATTAATGTCCAAAAAGAATGAACAATCACTACAAACAGGAATATTTAAGCAGGGCATTGAGAATTCTTCCTCACAGTAAAGGCAAACAATTATCTAATCTCCAAAAGTTAATGTCTTCAACAACAAAAAAAAGTATGTTAGTGAAAAAACATTAAATTACATATGAAATGTGTCAACAGAAGTTAAAAACAAATAGTTCTTAAGTCAGCAATGTGCTGATTGCATGGATTTGTCATGGTGCTCACTGTAAGAAACATGAAATGAACACAGAAATTATTTCTCATAACCATGAAGTTAAATGGTTTGAGACACAGAATCAGGTATCCTGGGCACCCTTGAATTTTTGGTGAAGCATGGGAGGATCAGAATGTCCTGTCTCCCCTTCACAAATGAGGAGATGACAGGGATGTGCAATAGAGTAGACTGAAGTTTCTTTTCTATCACAAGTCTGTTTACTTTAAATCACATGAATACACACAGTCTGTGAGTTCTTCCTCACCCTGCTGACCTGACACAAAAGCCTGGTACTGGAACCCAAGGCCTTGAGAGTTTTTGATCTGTTCCTAGACACCCTGCTTATGGACTAGCTCAACACTTCAAGACAAGATCAAGACATGTTGACACAACCACTGTGGTCCACCCTACAGGAGGAATGGAAGACCTTTCAAAGTTAAGAAAACCCAGTCCAAAAATTGAGACCCGGAGACATCTTCGCCAGAACCACTTCTTCCTGCAGTTGATGCCTCTCTCTCTGTACAGGCTGTGTGTTCTCTCACCCCAGTCAAAGCTTTTCCAATGCAGCGGATTCTGGCAGATCTGTCGACTGGTTCCAGAATTTCCCACATGTGAACTTTGTTTCACCTCGAAATTTTTCTCTATAATTCTCAAACTGGCAGAGATCATAATCAAGACTTCAAGACCGTTACACTAGGCCGGCTACAGAGTTCAGGAAGGACCAGACCCCGTTTGCTCTACAGATTCTGAGAAATCTGACAGCATCCATGTGAGAACGGCACAGCTAGAGAAGCATGCTTCCCCGCCAAAGCTGCTCACTGAATTCCCAGCTCCACCTCAGGAGCAGGCAGTCAGCTGACCGTCATTAGTTTGCAATTCTGGACTTGCACTATCATCTACTCCGCGCTACCAGGCAGCTCTCCTGACCAAAAGCCAAAAGTGGCAAGCGGCTTCCTAAAGAAATCACTCAGGGCACAGTCCCTATCGCCCTCTCCCCAGCCCTGACCTGCAACCTCTAGTGATCCTGCCAATTCAGCACAGCAGCCATGGCAGCTTCTTGCGCTCTCTCACCGAACCCAGATCAGCTCCCTCCAAGACGGATCCCCGCACCCCGCACAGTGCCTCAGGCTGCGCTGCACCCTGGACCAACCTTGAGATCAGAGACGCAAGAGGAACGTACAGCAGGCCGGACTCTCGCACAACTTTGGGAAAGTTGCACACCGTTGAACTCAAGTCCGGGAGGGAATTTCCTGGATGGCTCGCCGTGACGTCACAGTGCCGCAGACTACATTTCCCAGAAGTCTATGCGAAAGAATTGTGGGAACCCAGGTGTGGCCTCTCCCCCTTTGTGAATTCCAGTTTGGCTTCCTGCTGGAAATTATTGGAGGAAGAAGCTGAGTCAGCAGGACATCCCTGGGGCAGGAGCCTGGTGTTCACCTCCAGATCCACAACATAAGAAACATGAGTGTGAGTC